GGTCAAAGTAATTGAGGAGAAATGAGAAAAGAGAAATATAGAAGCTTCAGGAATCCTGCAGATAGTAATTGGCATTTTCCTATCAGTAACAAATGTCTACCTCAATCTCCGGACAAATCCATTGAGTATTGTGTGACGTCTTCGAAGGTGGTTCCCGCTGGTTCTTCGGCCATCCACCAAGATCATCCAGTTCCGACGGCAGTGATATGCTGCAACTGGACTAATCGTCATTTTCATGCACTTCTTACTCCTCTATCCAGATTGTTATGGCAAAAACGAATGGGCGCATTCTGATGGTCAGGATCCAACTGCAAAAGAAACCTTTTCCGCATCTCAACAAGGAAATGGCGCGGTGGTCAGAATCCATGTTCCGCTCCTGCACAACTTGGCAATGGTGCGAACTCCAAGGCCGAGAGCAGACAGTGACCGAATTAATGAGAAACAAAAAAGGGAATGCCTAATGGCGATAGATCTTTTTGTGGGATGCGCCAGACACTCATTTTTCTTCTGTAATTTACAGGGTTTACAGGGGTATGGATAGGAATTCAGGATAGAATCATGTTTCGTAAGAGTTTAGGAGATCGGATCGGTGCTTTGTGGTACTGCAGCCGCATTGAACCCCATCCGATAACTAAAATGGTAGCTAACCGGGCCTAGATCCTTGCTCGAATGCATGAGTGCTCAAGAATCCCCGAGATGTTATGAAGTTGTCAGTAAATCGAAAGGCACAGATCCTGCCTACGGCGAGACTGGGGAGGACCCCATATTTGGAGACGCCCCAAATTTATCTCTGGGATATTTATAAACCAAGCAGGATGTAGATCTCAATGAGAATAGAGCAGAGGTCCAGCTGCCTCTGTTTGGAGCTTTTCATCGCCAGTTCGAGTGCATTGGCTCAGTTCAGAATAAGCGGAGGCACCAGGACTACATAGCAGTAACGGACAAGCAGGATGGATCTTAGACGGGAAACAAACTTCACTTGGACTAGTCTCAACAAAACGCGCCATGCCCTCGACATTTTGAAGAGGAACATGCTCGTTTTAAACACCGACTTGACTCACAGAAGGATTCCCAGAGGTGAAGAATCTCACACAAGACAAGAAACGTACCTTAGTAGCAGATTGTTAGCCTTGGAAAGGACCAATCCTGCAGAAATGTGTATCAGCGCCTCCAGCCACTGCGAAACAAGAATGTCGATAAACCATTCGTAAACGAGAAAGGGAACGACGAAAAGCCGTAGCAAGAAGAGCGCTCCACTGGCATTCAAATAAGCGTGCTCCTTGAATGGGTATTCGGAACCAGATTGTAAGCTCATACCTGCTAGAAGCAATAGAGACCCATTTTATGAGCACATTTATAGGTCCCCTTAAACGATCCTGAAAGACCGGTGGTTACCACAGTCTGGGAGCGCCTGGAGACATAATGGACTGGGAACTAGCTTCTTGTCAGCCTTGATCACTTTTTCGAGGTTCCTCAAGAAGTAGAACCCACTGGTATACAACCGTCTACTGATGGAGATTACTCCTTACGGTCTATTAAGTCAGAAAAAAACTGAGAGCTACCATCAAAGGTTGCCAAGTTCAGCTAGAAAAAAGTAGCCAAAAAAAACGGAAGATGCTGATCATAGAATAAATGAGTAGCTTCATCTCATTGATAAATTAACTGAAAACAACAAAATAGATCTCAAAGAAGTAATTACCGAATACATCTACAATAACAAATAATTATCTGAAAACTCGTGTTTGAATGCTATTCTCACTATTCTGATATAGAATGGATGATAAAAAGAACTTTGGAAAGGTAGTTGCTGTCTAGACCAAGACTGAGAAGAGGGTATTAACAACACGCTTTGCGCATCACAACTACCAGAATTCAACAAGATATTGTATTTACAAATGATATCGTGAACGGTCAAAAATCAATGCTGTGCAGCCTTCATATCCATACGTCGCTTATAGATGTCTGTAGGGACTCCCCTGGAATCTTCATCACTACCTGAATCACCTCGTTTTCGTTTGCCACCTATGGAAGAAGCAATAGTACTTGAAGGGTACTCCATTAGATGCGTCGAAACCTGGAAAAGGAAGATTTCCATTTTCAAAAAAAGGTTAAGTTTGAATAACTGGTAAACCACGAGTCATCCAGCAGAAAAATAGGTCTACCATAAAACATATTTTTAAGAAAACGCAGTTAAGTGCTGTAAACTCACAAAACGCGGATCAGGAGTAGACGCAAGCAGTTGATACATGTCTTTCCGCACATCATCTACCCTCATCGGCCCTACCATCGTGCCATTTTCGATCTTCACCTTCTTGTCCAGCACAGGGCCTACATAATGGGTTGTTTACGCTAACATAAATGATGAGTGACGTCAGAAACAACTACACGGAAATAACCTACCAGTAGTTAACGCCATCTTATTAATGTGATCAATGAACAAATCCACTGAAACAAAAGGCCCTTGAAAGGTCCACGGTGGAGGCAGCAATGAAATGAGCTCTGCTATAGCAGGTGGAGGTGGAAATACACCTAAAACAAGGATGCGAAGAGGATAAAAGTCTATTTTAAAAACCTTGCATTCGAAAGAGCTTACCTCCTGGAACAGGATGAAACGATGCTGCGCTATTCGCTTTTGGCTTAAAAGGAATCATTTGGTCAATGTCAGGACGAGGATACCTTGAAACACAATGATAACACACAATGGTAATATAAGAAATCCTGTATACGCAACATAACGGGAACAGAAACCAACCCTCCGATCTCTAACTGAACACTGGGTATTCCTCCCATTACAACACTAGCGCCTTGTGGAGCTGCTAGATTTCGCTGTGGCGTCATCAAGGATCCAGTAGAAACACCCGTCATTCCACCAAGTATACCAGTATTTGATTTCTAAACTTAGCGAGATCATCAAAAACTGGGCCAACGGCTTCTACCTGTTCGAGAACTGATTTATGGGACTGGACCCATTTACAAT